GAAATTGTTGGCAGGGTGAGAAAATGTATGTTTTGGTATACATTAGATAAGGATCATACAATTAATAAGAGAAACAAACAAATTAGGTTTGAATAAATTAAATGTGTTATATATTTTAAGATATTAAAAAACCTAAAAACTTGGAACAACAGCTAGAACCCGGCACTCTCAAGGGAAATCTAACCTACAAATTAATAGTGTGAAATGAATGACTAATTTAAGTATAGAAGCTCACTAGTTTGCTATGTTAAAAAAATAAATAAATTAGTTTCCTATTCTTACTCCCTCTGTTGAATTTTTTTATTTAAGATTTGTTCTAAAATAATAGTCGTTTTTCATATTTTAAGAGAGACAAGTATTTTCTTTCCTATTTTAATGTTATATTATTATTTTTAATTTAATTATCCATCCTATCATAATTTAAATTTCATTATTTTTATTTCCTTTTAAGGTGTAATATGGATTCAAAATATAAACTGTCCCCAAATCCTTAATATGGAAATAAAATCAAAAAATGTCTATTATTTTAGGGTAAAGAAAGTACTTAAGGAATGATATGTGCAATACTAAACGAAAATTAATTATGTAGTAATATTTTTTTAAACTAAATTAAAATATTAGTTCCCTTGTCTAAAATTAGTTGTTTTATTTTTTTTTTATTTTTTACACAAATCTAATAGAACATAAAAAAAATTGAAAGATTTGTCCCATATAATTTTTGTTAAATAATTTTATTTAATAAAACAAAATTTATTTATTATTAATTTACTACAATATATAAAAATAATTAGTAGTTACTAACAATTCGAGTAACTCATTATTAATCTCTTGTAAAAATAAAAAATTTTATGTTCAAATTATAATTATATGACCTGTTTAATAGAGCTTCTTAATATTGTTTATAAATCATAAGTTTAAATTTTTATTGGATGAAAAATTTAAAAATTGCTTTTAAAAATAATAAAAAGTGAGTAAAGAATGAGAAAAAAATTTACAAAAGCAAAAGTTTAAAATTTTTTAAAATTTACTGTTTTTAATGTTAAAAAAAATGTAAGTTTTTTTAAAAAAATTTAATTTATGAAACATGAACAGTATCAAAAAATTAAAACATTTACAAACTTCACCAAATATGCTCCAGGATTGCAAATACAAAAACTAATGGAGTATCTTAGTTAATGCATGGTAAAAGTTTACGTGACAGTAAATATTAAGATAATGGAGAAAAACTGAATTGAAAGTTAAAAGAAAAGTGTCACTGACAATTTTATAAATCCAAAAATATGAAGACGGTAAATTAAAATTTATGATAAAAGTAGGC